TGTGATCCCAGAGCTGACCCTGCTCAGAGCAGGAGGTTGGAGCAGAGCTCTCCCGAGGTCCCTTCCAGCCCGAATCACCCTGGCTGCTGAGCATTCAGCCTCCCTCCCTCCCTCGTCCTCCCTGGGCCCCCAAAGTTAAGCTTTCCCTAGGGATATTTACACTTGTGCCTTAACATTTTCTTCTGAAAGCCTGGTGACACCAAATGCTGGGGTGCCCCGAGCCCCCCGCTGCAGCAAACCCCCCGGGGCCGGCGGCTCTGCCGGCTCCCGCCGTGCCGTGCCGTGGGGCAGGGTCCCCTCCCCAGTAACAGAGGTAACATTTACCCGGCGGCAAGAGCCCATCTAATATTCATGGACCGGTTATTTATTGATGGGGAGAGGCTGACACAGGCACCCCCAGCGATGCTTTTTCGGGCACATGCCTGCTGCGGGATGGGGGGCTGTGGGGACGCACCCCTAAAATCCCCAGGGTTTCTCTGCCTCTGGGGAGCTGCCAATTGCTGCCGCATCCCCCCTGGGGCCGGAGCTGGGGGGATTACCCGGCTAAGGAGCTTTGCGGCAGAGGGAAGCGGAGGAGATTACAAGATTTCTCATCAGGTCGGGGCCGAACGTGCGTGATTTCCCCTGCAAGCCGAGCCCCAGCCCCGCTCCCTGCTCCTTACCGGGGGATGACGGCCAGTGCAGTCCCACAGCCGGCTCGCCTCCCTCCTCCGGTGGGAGATGCCGATGGGCTTCACCTCAATCCGTTTGGCTTGTGCTGGGTGAAATTTGGGGGATGCACCACTGGGGCCGTGGCCCCGATGGGGGCAACCAGTCCCTCTTCAGCACCCCCTCACTTCCCCTCCCTCAGGTTTAAAGGTTAAATGGTAGACAGAGTGGTGAAGGATCAGTGTCATTAAAGATCTGTCTCTCTCCTCAAAAGCAAGATCATCTCTATTTCTAACTACTGGTTAAACACTTAATTGTATTTAACACAATAATTATAGTAAGAGTGAGCGTGTATTTGATTGACCTCAGATTTTCCCAAGAACAGTTCTATTAACATGTTGTGAACCTGAGCTCAGAAGGAAAGGATTGTTTTTTCTTTTTTTTTTTGCCATGACAGACAATAAACCCGTGCTGGTAACATGGGGGTCAAATATCCCGTTCCGTCTAGCTCCTTCCCCCCAAAACTCCTTGAAAGCAGTGTGGGGGTTTTCATATTATTGGGGTTGGAACAGGCTGGGAAGCTTTCAGTTCTTCCCACGAACTGTTATTTTCTGAGTATCAGGTGTTTCGTCTTTAACAATTTATGTTATTGCATTATACGTGATAGTGAAAGCAGTCTCGAAGAGGGAATAGCAAATATTTTATGTATTTTTGGTTTCTATTCTTCCCATTCTCTCCTGCTGGGAGATTTTTGTTTCGGACTTGCATCCACTGGAGCAGAGGGATGCTGCGGAGCAGAGGGATGCTGTGGGGAGGAGGGATGCTGTGGGGACGAGGATGCTGTGGAGCAGAGGGATGCTGTGGGGAGGGGGATGCTGTGGGGAGAAGGGATGCTGTGGGGAGGACGATGCTGTGGAGCAGAGGGATGCTGTGGGAAGGGGGATGCTGTGGGGAGAAGGGATGCTGTGGGGAGGACGATGCTGTGGAGCAGAGGGATGCTGTGGGAAGGGGGATGCTGTGGGGAGAAGGGATGCTGTGGGGAGG